TTGCGAGGTTGTGGTATGGGTAGCTACATGATGTGGTAATCTGCTTGTGAATTATGGATCCACTCCATTTTTTGCTGCATGTGCCTGAAAGCTGTTGGTTGACCTTCTTCGTATTTCTCATAACAATGGTGTTTCAAACACAATTGTATCACATCTATTTTTTATTTGTATCACCTTTTGCAATAAACCCAATATTATATAGAACCGCCTATACAGTTCGTAAATCGCACCGTGATGGTCGTTTCAAAAGTTCACATGTGCATCCACTGCACGACACTCTATCTCCTTGTGCTCATATGTCTCCACTCAGTGGTTCTTTCAGCCACAGTCAGCAAAATCGACGATTACGATGACGATGGTGTGCCAAGTCTATCCGAAATGGACACCTACGACGTACTAGCAATCGTTTTCATGATAATCGGGCTGGCTGTCTCGTCCGCTGGTGGCGTTGGTGGTGGCGTTATCATGGTTCCCGCAATGGTGCTTATTATGGGATTTGATATTAAACGCGCAACACCTATTTCTAACGTGGCCATTCTTGGTGGGGCAGTGGCAAACGCATGGTTTAATATGCGCAAGCGCCACCCAAATGTTGATAGACAATTAATTGACCCAGAATTGTCCTTAGGAATGATTCCTGCCGTGATCGGTGGCACGATTCTGGGCGCTTTGATCAATAAGCTGATTCCGAGTTATGTGCTGTCACTGCTTTTCGTTGTAGTGCTCTTGGCCGGCGGTTCGCGCACGATGAAGAAGGGGATTACTTTGCACAAGAAGGAAATTGCCAAGAAAAAAGAGAGTGACGCTGCCATAAATGAGGAGCCAACAAATCCTTTAGTCAGTCCTGACAACTACACTTTGGTCAGTACACCACAGAAATACTACGCGGACGACAAACGAATGAGCATATCATTAAATGGCGGCGACACGACCCCTTTAAAACTTGATACAATTGAGGAAGCAGGCTCAGATTGTACACTAGCTCAGATCATGCACAGCGAACGACGTTTTGCCTGGGGGCCACACGTTACCATCATGGTATGCTACCTTGGCATTGTTGCTCTTAGTATCGGAAATACATCCGTTACCTGCGGAAGTGTTGTTTATTGGGTAATTTTGCTGATTCAAATTCCGTGGATCGCTGTGTTCGTCGTCTTTACTATGCACTACCTGCATCAGAGTTACCTTCGCAAGAAAGCATTAAATTACCCGTATGTCAACGGTGACATCCAATGGACGAAGAAAATGGTGCTGTTTTTTCCATTAGGATGTATAGTCGCTGGTATTGTTGCTGGTATGTTTGGCGTTGGCGGAGGTATCATCACAGGTCCTATCATGATTGAGCTGGGCATCGTGCCGGAAGTTGCTTCCTCTACGACGGCATTGATGATTCTATATTCATCAGCTTCTGCTACTTCAAAATTTGCTGTGTTTAACATGATTGCATGGGACTGGGCATTGCTTCTTTGCGCAGTGGCCTTTGTGGTGACTTCTTTGTCTCAAATAGTGATTCTGAGCTTCGTACGGCGCACAGGTCGCCAGTCTATCATTGTATTGTGCATAGCAACGGCCGTCCTCATCGGAGGTGTCATTATGACGTATCAAGCCATTAAAACAACCGTAAATGATGCCGGTGACTCGTTTCATGCGGACATTTGCAGGTAAAAAGCTATATGACAAGACATAGATGATATTTAAGCCGCAATAGATTGAAAACAGGATATATCATGAAAGGCACTTGTGCTTGCTTTGATTTTGCGGAAATTTCACCCTGCATGACATCTCTTTTATCTCTAATCAGTAAGACACCTCCTACATGCATTTCATGGACATGCACTATCATACCTTTGCTGTCTATGGAAATTACAGCAAACTTCGTTTCTTGGCGCAGCGTGAAACGATTTCGTATGCGCGAGCCCCGCTCTGGTCTTAACTCCCACCAAGTTAGTACTGCTGCCTGCATCTTTATATGCCAGATATAAAAGCTCTGTTGCTGCAAATTAATTATCAAAGTAGACATACAGGATGCTTAAGCTTCCACCGCCTTAAATCTGCCTTTACAGTCACGGAGCAGTTGTTGCAGTGTCACCTTTTGCAATCGTGCACCTCATTGTGATCTGCAATATGTAGGCGCTGCATCCGTATCAGGTGTGGCTATTGTTGGTGAAACTTAACTCATGCCTGCTCTGATAAGCGTCTGCAATCGTGGCAACATTTTTGACAAGTTGCTAATCAATTCTTACTATTTTTATGCCGTAGTTCTCGTCTTGTCCGGCCATGGTCCCTCATTAATAATTGAAAAATGTTTTTCTGAAACTTGCGTGCTGCTGCTATGACTTCTGTATTAAGAAGAGATCCGCGACAAAACGGATGTGCCGACTCAACATTTAACTGGTATTTCTCGCCAAGTAACCAGGATCCGACATGCTTGCCGCTTGTGTTATTTAGCAGCAAGTAGAAAGAGTAAATGAAGGTCCACCAAGAGCAAAATGAGCCTGCACAATAGGTGGCTATGAACGTATCGTGAGTAACACAACATTGTCTCGTCGAGAAATTTTGCTTTTACGTTAAAAGCAGAGGTCAAACTTCCATATCATAAGAAATAATTCTATTGAAAATTGAGTTATATGCTCTTTATCGTAATAACCACATATATAAACAATGCAAGCCCATCACACAATCACCACGCACCGCGAAGTCCACCTTCACGGTCTCGAAAGTTGACAGCCGCAGCTTTTAAGTCTTGAACACCGACCATTGCCTCACCCAAGTCTGTTGAAATCTCCTTAAGAATTTTAGGGTCATTAAAGTGAGTCACGGCCTGTACCATAGCACGAGCGCGCTTAGCTGGATCGCCGCTTTTAAAAATGCCTGATCCGACAAACACACCGTCCATTCCAAGCTGCATCATGAGAGCAGCGTCAGCAGGGGTGGCGACACCACCGGCGGCAAAATTTACGACAGGTAACTTTCCTGTTGCGGCAACCTGCTTTACCAGCTCAAACGGAGCCTGCATCTCCTTTGCAGCTACAAACAGTTCATCTTCGTCGAGAGAGCGAAGGCGGCGAATCTCGCGATGTACCGAGCGAGCATGGCGGACGGCTTCCACAACGTTGCCAGTTCCAGCCTCGCCCTTTGTGCGCAACATTGCAGCACCTTCGGCAACACGACGTAGAGCCTCGCCTAGATTACGGCATCCGCATACAAATGGAACCTTGAACTTATGCTTGTTGATATGATTCTCTTCATCAGCCATTGTCAACACCTCGCTCTCATCGATGTAATCAATTTCGGTGACCTCAAGAATTTGAGCTTCCACAAAATGGCCAATACGAACCTTGGCCATTACAGGAATAGTTACAGCTTTTTTGATAGCCTCAATCATCTGCGGGTCGCTCATACGCGCGACGCCGCCGTCCACACGAATGTCAGCAGGGATGCGTTCAAGGGCCATCACAGCCACTGCACCTGCTTCTTCAGCAATGCGCGCTTGCTCGACGTTCGTCACATCCATAATTACTCCACCTTTCAACATCTTGGCCAAACCAGCTTTTACGAGAAAAGTGCCTTCAGTAGGGGCTGAGCCAGCGACGGGAATACTCTGAGTGGCCATGGTTAATGCTTACGTAGAACGCAGTAAAATTTTGAATGGTACTGCTACGCCAAGTGGCCCGAAATTATTTTTAGAGGCCCAAAAGCGCAAACAGATAATACGTTTTCAAGTCAAACTGAAGATGATGATTGGCCGAATAGCCAAGTGGCCCAGCAATCTGGACCACGTCCATTTACGAACAGTATTTAATACTTATGTGTAAGCAAAAACTTTTTTTAACTACAAAGCGGTGCCTCGCTCGAGATTCTGTCGAATTTCTACCGTATACTTGTCGAATGCCTGGGACGCTTTTCGGTTAAATACGCGATTCTGGCCATTGATATAATCAACGTCCTCACCCTCGTAATGCTGGCGCCGTCGACTAAATTTCTTGCGGGCATGCACGCGATGTTCCAACTCCTGGGCCATGCGCTCCACGTTTGCCTGCATATTTATCAAAATCCATCACTAACAGCGACATACTCACACCAACAGCACAATTAACTCTCTGCAAACCTCCTCAACTTTGTCATCCTTGCCGTAGGCCACTTCGTCACAAAGTGTGATTCCAGCTGTGGCATTCGTTGCCGATAAATGCTCTTCTGCTGTTGGCAAGTTCACAAGTCGCTTTTTGTAGCCCTTATACAACGAATCTTCGTTGAATACATCCCACCCAAACGCGGCTTTTCGCTTCTCTTTTTTGCTTGTAATTTTAGTCTTCATAGCGGCAGCCTCAGCTGATAGGTTCAACAGATCAGACAGCAAGTCAATGTTAATGCGCCAAGACACACTCCGGGCCCGAATTATACGTACCTGTTTCGTTAAGGTGAGCTTTATCACTTGCAAATTCCATCTTTCTTTCCTACAACAGAAAGCCCACGAAAGATTGAAAAGTACTCATAAGTAGCCCGTAGCTAGTTGTGCTGCAGCACCATCACAAACCTCTCTCTTTCTGTATTGATTCTCCTTTTTATCCTTCTTGATATTCTGAATGCGGTCGTGCTCTGCTACCACCTCCTGCACAATCAGTACAACAGCCGCGCGTTACATCTTTAAAAGCACAACTTTCCGCATATTTACAGCACCTTTTTGTTTGCCTTCCGCCCAGCATTCATCTTCATGCGTATATCGAACAATTTTCTCTGAGCAGGCGTCATGGCCGTCAGCTCATCCTGCTCCGTGTCTGACATACTTCTTTAAGGAGAAAATGTACCAAGAATATTATCCAAAAAATTGGATTTTTACATAACAATTCTAAAAACAGCTCATCGAGCCTTAGCTGGTGGACGCGGAGACTTGATGCTAGAGAATAATGGCGTAGACACGTCCAACATAAGGAGCAATGAAAATTTTGCGCTGGAACTGCTACAGATGCAATTACTTAAAATTGAGCACGCGGTCTTGGAAAGTGATACTGAGAGGGTAGTTGAAGAGCAGCAGACTCTCAAGGCAGACGACGAAGTCTTTACAGTGTTGGAAATGGCGCAACTCATCTCAGAGGGAAAATATGGAGATGTAATTCGCCTTCCACAGACTCAAATTCTTTTGCACACCGTACTTCAATTACGCCATGAGGAGGAGGAATCTGACGCTGAGGAAACTCATATTTGTGGTAGCATCGCGTCGGCTTTGCAAAATTACTTGCTTAATCATTGCAATAGTGTCATAAGCCGCCTCGTGACTACCTACAAAATCTTATTTGCTGGCATTGCATTTCTTAATATGTATGTACAGGCAAACTATACAGGACCGGCATTTGAGGAGGAAAAGCTGTGTGACGTGCTCGATCTGACCTCACGCTTAGTTACTAACTCGACCAAAAGCGCCGATAAAAAATCGCATATCGATACTCTTGTGGCGCTACAGGTTGATGGCGAGTGTCCATTTTCCATCTGCGATTACCCGCAATTTTTGTTAGCTGCTCGTTGCCTACTAAATTTTATAGGCAACTATGCGTACAACGACTGGTCTGTAGCAGCTAGCGAAGTCGTAAGTGGCCAGAACGACAATGAGGTTTCTGACGACGTTGTTGAAGGACCAGCTAAACGCCTTATGACTGGTGGGGCCGCCATTCTCGCGCTTGGCGACATGCTGCAAGGTATTAAGACAGCCGCGTGGTGGAACGCGCGTGCGTCTGTGGCACACGAACGGCTGTTGCTAACCAAGCAGCCATCAAATACTTTATGGTTTGAAGCTCGCCGTGGATACATTCAAACTCTCAAGACGCATGAAATTTTTGCTTTTGAAAAAGGGACTAACTACTTGCTCGCTCGAGCATACGTGGAATGGGGTCTTACTCAACACTATTTTGACAAAAACAAGCATGGCAAGTCGACATTTGCTCGCGCGAAAGAGATTGCCGGTGTGAGAGTGGAGCTAAGCGGTTCGATGGGTAGGCGCACCAAGTTTCAACAGAAAAGTGTGGCTCAATTGATGCTGCTTGCAGCGTCGAAAAAAGAGCCTGCGAATGAAGATGGAGACGGTTCCATCTACGCCACAGCTGTGGCCGAGTCGATACATGCGGACTTTGGTGGTAAACAGGTAACGACAGAAGATGGAGATAGAATCGATGCAGTTTCTTCCGCTGCCCTGCCTGCAGATAGCCTAACACCTGAACATGAGCACATACAAAGACTTGTTGACGAGGGTGAGGCTTCTTATCGAAACGTAAAGTTGGACCAAGTGGATCAAGATAACTATCTTTTGGAAACAATCGCTTATGAGGATCGAAAGCTCACGCAACAGGGCAATTTACAAATTGTAGACCAAATTGTGCTACTGGGGATGTGTCTAGACGTCAAGAATAGCAATGCGAACGATGGTCTTACTCGTGAGGAAATGATGCCCTATGTCATGCGCGTGCTTGAAAACCCCAATAATTGGATGGTCTACTCTACGGCACTATTGGAACGGGCGTGGCTTGAATGTGAAAGCTCCAAGCGCCGTGAGCGTGCTGTCTTGCAGATGCAGGCCTTAGTCGATCAGCACACCACACGTCTCACCATTACGCAGAATACTCTCCAGTCGATCGCTGACTCAGCGCCAGCTCGGGAGCGCATGCAATTTGTGTATTCACTGGTCTTTCCTCCGCGATATGCACTCAAGCGCGACTTGGCTGAGCGCTACTTTAAGCTTGGTGTTCTCGGTAGTGCTGTTGAAATCTGCGAAGAATTGGAGATGTGGGATGACGTTATCAAGTGTTATCAACTTCTGGACAAACCCATGCACGCTGAAAAATTGGTACGCGAGCGCTTAGCGATTGCCCCTTCACCATTTATGTGGGTCACACTTGGCGACCTTACTCAGGAACCGGCACACTATGAGACGTCCTGGGAACTATCAAAAAAGCGGTTTGCTCGCGCTAAGCGATCACTTGGACGCTACTTTTTTGAGAGAAGGGATAATGAGACGGCAATTCTCCATTACCTGGATGCTGTGCGTGTAGGTCCTATGCACACAGGCGCCTGGTTTACTTTAGGCGCGATTGCGATGCGCATTCACCGTTGGGCACTTGCGATGCGGGCATTCACCCGCGTTGTGCAGCTTGAGCCAGACAATGGTGAGGCCTGGGGCAATTTAGGCTCCATACACATGCATAATCAAAGGTATGCTGAGGCCTTTGCAGTCTTGGAAGAAGGTTTAAAACAAAAGCGTCATATGTGGCAAATGTGGGAAAACTATGCACTGTGTGCAATGGAGACCACGCGCTACGGTGAGGCTATGTATGCCATGCATCAGCTGCTGGATCTGCGTGCTAAGCACAAACGTCCTGTCGATAGCGAATTGTTAGCGTGGCTTGTGGAGGCAATCGTGTATCCGAAGTCATTAAAGCAGATGCAGCAAGAGACTGATGTTGATAAAGCTAATGTCATCCAAAATGCTGTTTCTGACGATAAAGTTGACTTCATAGTGGCGGATGAAGACTTGTCAGAGCTCAACGAAGTAGAAGCAGTCACCGACACGACACCCCCACGGTCCGACTCGCACTATAAACAGCAATTGGCAACGCTTTTCGGTCGTGTGACGTCTATTGTTACAAATGACCCCAAGGTATGGCAACTGTATGCTCACTTCAACAGCGGTATTGAAGGTCGTGCCGATAAGGCTCGTGAATGCCGTTTAAAGCAGTGCCGCGCGCTGCAAGTCGCAGGATGGGAGCGTGAGCGGCATAAAGTTGAGAATCTCTGTGGAGCTGCTACTCGACTGGCCGAGGATTACTTAGCAGAAGGCACAAAGAAAGCTCTGTATTCATGTCGCCTTTACATTCGTGGCATACTTAAAAAGGCGCAAATGGATTTTGCTGACCTTGAGGCCGTGAAGACTCTTGCAGATGCGCTGGAAGAGGTTTATGCACGAGAAGCACAAATTCTAGAGTAATTAATCCACCGATATGCTTTTTGAGATATCGGTATATACCGATTCATACCGATTACTTTTTCAAATCAACACCATGCTTACAAACTTCTAGTCAGGGAATTGCGCGGGCGATTTTGGCGCTCGCCAGTCAATCAAACTGAGCGAAATATGCCTACAAAGGAGGACGGGCGACGATACCCAGCCAGAAAGCGCAAACTCGAGACCGCTGGCTTCAAGAGCAATTTAAAGAAGACAGCTCGTCCTCACCGATTGCCAAAAGCAAAAAAATCAGTCACTGTCTTAAGCCACAAACCTGAAAATGAAGCAGAATCGCATGTACTCTTGCACCCGGAAACCGCAAGCTTCTTGCAGCTTCTGGAGGACGATGCACACCATTTTATGCCATTATCACCTGTTTATAAATGCAGCGAGGAATTTAAATCTCAACGAAACAAATGTGTCGTAGAGTTCCAATTGCCATTCAAAGAGCTGGAGATCAAAAGTCTCGAAGAACGTCAGTGGGTGCGACGGCCGCCACCGTTCGGCAAGATAACACGCTGTGTCTACGTTTCCACCAAAATTCCCATTGCTGATTTTCCCGTGCACAAGTGTACATGCTGTGAAGAAACCCACAAGTCTACGACCAAACGAACTACTATGATGGCCAGTGTCAAGGCTCAAAAGGAGCTGGCGACTAAAAGAAAGCACGTTGATTCAAAAGAGCATCATGAAGTGGATCGCATAATGTATTGTGGAGAAGGCTGCTACAATCGCATGCTGTTTATAAGTTGCTCGGATGAAACGTGCTCAGCATCCGACCCAAGCTTGTGCAGCAACCGTGCTATTAAAAGGCGAGAAGTTAAGTCCATACGAGTCGAGTATATACCTGGCCCTGGATTTGGCCTCATCGCAAATGAGCATATTTTTGCAGGCGAATTTATCATTGAATACGTTGGTGAAGTCATAGATCATAAAGAGTGCGAGCGGAGGATGCTTGAGTACAAAAACAACGGCGAGGTGAGTTTTCTTTTATAGGGTCGTTTATTTGCTCTTCAGTAAACCCTTCATTGACTATGTCTAGGTCAATTTTTACATGATGGAGTTAGAAAAAAACACAGTCATCGACGCTAAATACCGCAGTAATGAAGCGCGCTTTATCAATCATGGCTGCGATCCTAACAGCGTCACGCAAAAATGGTACGTGCTACATACTCTACATGCCAAAGACATTAACGATAATTATATGTCGCGATAGGAATGTAGATGGAATCCAGCGCATCGGAATTTTTGCGCGCCGCAACATTGCCCCCAACGAGGAAATCACCATCAACTATAACTTTTCGCATTTTGGCGAAGCGGCCGACTGCAAATGTGGATCCACAGCATGCACTGGAAAAATTGGACTCAAGCGGCCTAAAATGTCTTTAATTCATGGTCGTATCGCAGGAGCTGCGAAGACAAAAAAGCAGGTGCCAGTAAATGAGGAGCCACCTGAGCTTAAGCGTTCCGTTCATTTATCGTCCTTGGCACTGCTCAAGAGCTCTCAAATGGTCGATAGTTGGTATGACTACTTTGGGTTCAGCCATCGTCGCTTGTTTCTCTGTCATCGTACGCGTTGTGATGGTGATGGGAAAAAAAATGAAGAAAATGATAACAGCGGTAACTTGCATTGCAGTGCGCCATCAACAAGTCCTGCATCAGTATGTTCCACAACAACCGAAGAGGATGTGTCACTTTCACCACCACATGCAACCCCGAGCATCCTTCGTGATAAAAAGTTACGCAAACGCAATTGGTATGAGCGAGTTTTAGCGGGAGAGCATTTATCTAAGATGAAAACTATACATAGTTTTATCTGTGGAGGAGTCTTCGATTGGACGTCACACTTGAACAAAGATGTTACAATAGAGGGTGATTTGCCTATACGGAACTTCCACAAATATATGGGTGTTTCGCCTACAAAGCATAGCTTTTCCATTCAGACGGGCACCGAATCCAGGCGGGCAACGATGAAAATCGTTCATAAGAGATTAGGACTCTCCGAAGCACGAGCGCGCGGCATGAATGAACTCTATGCTTTTGCTAAAGGCACTTCAAAGTGGAACAAACGCATTCCATCCTCCATTTCTATAGATGCAGATCGCATTCATCGTCTGATCGACAACGTGAAGGGCAAGCAGATCTTCGTTAACACCGATCAGGTATGTCGCAGCTTAGTTATCTGGATTGGACGATGGTTTACCAAATCTTACATCTTAACAGAATGACCTGAATGAAGATGCGTGCTCTCGCTGCGGTCTAACAGGCGAATTGATCTGTTGCGATGGCTGCCCTGCTGCCGTTCATTTAAACTGTACAAATCTTGCAACGGTTCCTCCCGATGGAATTCCGTGGTTTTGTTCCGAGTGTACGAAGCCAAAGCATCAATTAAAACTTTCGGAAATATCTTGTTCTGCAACTGTCACTGGAGAGGGTAAACGAAGTGGCACGCGTTTACAAATTAAGTATCCTAGCCGATACCTTCGTACGCATGTAGCACATCAAGTTCCGAGCCTTAACAAGATTTTCCATGCTCCAGCACCTCATGTTAAGCGCCGATACAAAAAGCGGCATAAACCTGCCGATCGCACCTATCGTGAGCTTGAGCATATGCCACTTCCCTTATATGACGGAATTGGCGATTCTGAGCAGTAAAGGCTCAGAATCTCGGAATGATTCAAAAGCGATCAATTTGTGCAGTTCCATGGTCGCCAGTGCTGACATTGCACACAACAACTCGTCGACATTGTATCTGTGTTCTTAAAAATCTGGTGTTCCTGTCAAAGCACCTTAGAAGTTAAGTCGATAAATCAAGGTACTCAGCAAATAATATAAGATAATGTGCTTGTTATGTATTGCTTTGATCAACTGCAGAATTTGACTGGCGCAGGTCCTTCAACGCGGTCTTTAAGAAGTTCTTCACTGTCCTCCTTAGCTCGCTACAGTAACATTAGTTATGATAACGATAAGTTTACATATTGCTAGTCGCACCTTAATGGCGGTGACAAGGGCAGCGTAGGGGCCAGTTGACTTGAGTTCAGGCATAGGCCTGCCTCCATCCATCATGCCCGAAAACGAGTGATTTCGTTGGTCTTCACTACGCTGTGCATACTCATTGGAGGCTTCAGCAGCGCTGGGAAAGCTCTCGAACGAATGCACTATTTCGCCGTGGAACTTGTACGTCGCTTTGATCCCACTCATATTCAGTAACTTTTTCTGCACATCACATGTAAAATGAAGTATTTATCGGTAAAAATTTCAACAATTGAGTCTTTTAGCTTAGTTCTTACAAATGCACGCGCTGTTAGGCGAGCTGCGCATGGTTAAAATGCTGCATCAGCAGACGGGCGTGTGCGTATTCACGCATCAGTGGAAGTGGAATCCACAGGCCCATGCAGAAGGAGTGGACGCGCTTGTCCTGTCTTTCACGCAATTTGCGCGTGAAATTGATGGCGGAGGTGCGGTTGCGGTGGAGAAAACTGATTTTTTGCTCATGAATGTTCTGTAGAGGTTGTACAAGTGCACTTTGATCCCAGTAAAACCGGCAAGACAAATAGACCTGGTATTAGCCCAACGCCTGTACGTAGCTTTGGGTAATAATACGAGATGTTGAATCTGATCAGCGAAACGTTTTGATCAGGCCTCTTCAGATGGATTAGTGATGATCTCACTTCAGGACGAGACCATCCAAGCAGTTTTGTTTCATGATCGAACATCTGATGCAGCATGTGCCGCTCTTAAAACATTTCTAGAAATTATTTTTAAGCGATTTTCACAATTGTTTGAACATGAACTTGAGCAATTGCAGCCGCAATTGAATGCGAACGCAACCCCAACCGCTGAAGAGGTCCGTTAATTCTTAGTTTTTGCGGTGATACGTTTTGAAACGCTCTAACATATTGGCAGCGTGAAGCTGTTGAAGCCCCATTTCGACGATTCGAGGCTGAGCTCGAAAGCCAATTGCTTCCGCAACCTACTAGTGATTTTAGTCAATGAGTTGGGAGACCGTCAATGTACAATTCCGTGCAGAAATTTTGCCACGATTATTTTAGTAAACGTATAACATAATGACTAACCCATTACCTTGGGATTTTAGTAGAGCGTCAGAGAAATACGTTGTCATTCATTTACTTCCACATCCTAGTCTAGAACACTCTTTCTGTTACAATAACCAAGTTCAGCAGGTTTGTCTCCAGTGGTAAAGCCCCAGAGCTCGACTTGAACACATGAAAACTCTTGCGAGACGGTTAATGGAGGTGAATTAAACGTTTCACAAGCTCCACTAGTCCCTCTTGATAAATCACTGTCCTGCATTCCAAACAAAAAGCACTAAGGTTAACAAAAATATTTTCTGTCATGCATCACTTGAAAATGTCAAAGAAGCGTCACTCGCCAGAAATAAACCAAAATTGCCGCCGCCACCCATAATTAAAGATTCGTCGGAGCAAAGCATGAAGTAGCTATTCTTGCGGCTCCATTGGTACTTCACAAATCCTCCGGCTGCGCTCGTATTCGCGAACGAAAATAAAAATGACTCACCAGTTCCATAATAGTTAAACGCACGATGCCATTCGTCCGAAGCAAAACCGCCAAACACGTTCCCCTTGGCGTCCTTAACCACTAATAACGTTGGACTTTGCTTCTTCGCCAATGTCAGCAATGTCTCCAACGAAGATCCATTCGCTTCGACGCTGTAAATCTTGTACCATCGGCACAGTTGAGTGGTGATTGGCAATGCATGGTCAATGCACGCGATATGGTCAGCTGTCAAAATGCTCGATGAGTCGATTAGCTTTAGCAAATAGTCATCTAGATTATATTCGATCACTTTGGAGTTGCTTAAAAGCTGCGATTTATCTGGATGTGGGAGGACTACTAGAGATTCTCTCCTTCCTTCTTCAACCAGGTCTTCTTCGGCTACCGTTCTATCTTCTTCTTTTGATTCACGAAGACGAGCCGCTCGTATTTTCCCCCATTCTGCTCGCAGATCGTTTACAGTGATTACACCTGTCTTCAACAATTCGTTAACTATTCCTTCCGTTTCAGAAATCACGCGAGTAAACGATGCCGACTTCGGATCCAGATCACTCCATAATTGGTCAAACATTTGGTACATTAACATGAATAATTTGTTAAAATACATATCTTCGTCAAACAATTTCCAAAACGGTTCCAACGATAACGCTACTATGTCAACCTCCGGATTCTTTGGGCTCAAGCTGCGGAAAAATGGAAACGTCAGCTGAGCACAAACTATAACATTGAAATCATTTACGGCTTACAATAATTTCAAATTCTTGACTAATGACTCACAAATAGATGATGCCACCAGTCCCGCGTCGTAGGACGGTAATTTTGATGGCAGCGCACGCATTTTCAGTAAGGTTAGTGCATTTGCATCATTTTTTAACCAGTAAGATATGGCTCGAAGTAACAGCACGCCTCCTTTTTCGAAATTTCCTAAGATGGTTGGCTTATTGAAGCCAAACTGCTCCCAGATGCTCACAAGATCCTGTTCTGCAGTTTCGCTGACAGAAGGTGAAGATGCCCCGCCACTGGTGGCATTTGGAGACCGTGGACTTGTAAGTCCCCGCATTGCATCTTCCATAGTTACAGCAGCACTATACTGGCATTCTTTATTTCGATCTGTTGCGTATTCGAATTTCAGGTACTCTGTAGATACGTTGTCCGTGGAACTTGGCAGTATGATATCATCTCCTTTTAAGTGCCTACGAAATAATCGCGTGATCTCATTTACATGCTGCCGATCCGACAGAAAAGTCATCTGCGGTTGAAGCTTCAACTGATGCGATACCATGCGTAGAGCCTCCTTTTTGGCCTCCAAGCGCTCAAGTGCATCAACAATTTGCACACGTACACCCTGGAAGATAGCCGCTTCATGCTGAATCATCCGCTCGACAACTTGAGCACCAACTGCGGCATACCGAACGTCTTGATATTGCGATTGTGTCCTTGCACGCATACGCTCAGATGGCGAGCCACTCCCGGAGTCTTTTCTGAACGCAATTACTGGTGCCAATATTGTAGACGCTGTAAGCACGTCGATACCATTTTGTTCACAATGCTCTGGCTGCTGCAAGAAGTTCATTAAGCTGATCACCCTATTTAATACTATCTGGCAACACACAGGTAGATCGTTTACCAAGCACGTAATATTTCGAATGCTTGCGTCTTCATCATGTAATTGTCCAGCCGCCACAAATGCATCATATTTGTCATCTGTCACAACGGAGTCGGGAAGATTTCTCAAAAAATCCAAGAATAACGCTCCTGCGCATTGCGGATCCAAATCTTGCGGCACAGAGCCTTCTGTCTCGACAATTTCTCGAAGTTGGTTCAGCCGGATATTCAATACTGTTGAGCGAAACAACCGCGAAGTATCTGGGTGATTCCACAATATTTTAATACAGTCATCAACAATGTTTGGAATCGCCAAGAAAGGATCAATTGAAGCATAGCGGCTGTGGTATGGATTTTTTGAAAGGGACGCCAGACTAACACCGAACACATATTGGGACGGTTTGATGCCTTTTAGGCGATGTGGAAACAAGGCTGATGGTAATTGGACAGCTTCATCTTCATCTTCATTATCTTCCGTCCTTTCAATCTCAACTCCTTCAACCTCTACATCTTTGACGTTTTCAGCCTCCTCGTAAACTAGCTCAGAATCCACAAGCGGTAAAAATGCCTCTGCTTTAGAAAGTGATGCTCCCACCGCTGCAGCGATATCTTCATCCGTAATTGCTGAGACCATATCTTCGTTATTGCCGTCAACATGAAGTTCTAGCTCCGAACTTGACGTTTGTTCTGGTATGTAAAACGGTTCACCGTTGACTTCAATCGCGAAATGTACATCTCGAAGAGCAATGACAAGCTCCAGAAACAAACCGAGACCTTCTGAGCACCGAACGAGGGACCATTCTTCGTAATTGTAGCGTATCAAGTTCTCGCATGCCATGGAAAAGATCATCTAAAGATGTGCATGTCGACACTAGTAAGAAAAATGCAAGACAAAACAAGGTGTACGCTTCTTGCACCAACCATAACACTAGATTCGATCGTATGATTATTCAGTGCTATCTTGAGCCAGCAACGTGCTTTTCCTACATCCGTCTATCGTCACCACCACGCTCCTCAACAACAAAATAATTTGCAATCCAAAACACTAATAACACAAACCTCTGACAGGAATGCAGCCGACAGTACACTTTGTACCAACGTCTGCTCGTCAACAATAAGCGTGCTGGCATACAATACATGCCACCAACATGGCTCATCCTCATAACTACGGCACTTAAGTCCTAACTTCAGGCACTCTTCCAGAGCCACACCTTCTTATGTCAAGTCAGAACATATGTGATCACAATCCGCATTACAAATAAGAGTACATACACAGCTCGCCAACACAAGGATCACGGTCTGTCAGTTGCAAACGCTGCTCCCGAGGTAATTGTACTACAGATGTATCATCTTGCTGCTCATCGATGTTATTTAAATCTGCTGCATTTTCTTTTCGTAGCACTACCAATGTGGCATTTTTGAGCCGCGTCTACAACGACAAAATAAATTCTCAATTTTCATCTCTCCTTTAACTCCAATACAATTGACGTAAAGGACCAATGCATCGTAGCGCCGCTGTGCAAAAACATCGCTTGTGCCGATTTTGTCCTCGTGCCGCGATGCAAGCCAGTGTGAGATCTTGCTAAGCATTTCGGTGTGTCCAGCCTCCTTGAACTGATGTGCTTTGCGACTAAGCCTTTTCTACCTAAAAATGGTGGGTCGTTTCTGAGTTAATTTAATTGGTCAAAACTAAGCTCTGCAATTCAATTGATTGACAACGAGTTAACCTGACACGAGTCATGGCGACGCGGGCGCGTTCGCTACATGCCGCAATGGAAGAAGCTTCATCATCCGGCGTTAAAAAAAGATTGAGCTTCACTATTAGCGACGATGACGGAGCAAATGATGAAAAAAAAATACGGGAGAATTTCTGTCAGCGCAATGACATCTGTAATGATATATCCAGCCAAGGCATGAATAGTGTCAAAGCGATCGATACGAGAGGAAATCATCGCTACCGCACTCGACGTATGGAAAGGACTGATGTGTATAGTAGGAAAGATACGCTATACCGACGGCACGATTTGCCATCAGCTGACAAGGTTAAGCAACACCGACGATCTAGCTCTGAGCAGAGCACACCGACGTCGCACAGAAGAGCAGAGCTTGCTAGACAGTGCGTTGTTGCAAAACTGAAGCTTAACATTATTCGTCCAGTGTCAATTTAACGATGGTTGGGCAGAGGCATGGGCAGAAGCAGAGGTAGAGGCAGTAGATCGATGTCACCTCCGTGTGCAAGTCCAGCGACAACATTGAGTAATACTCTTGGAACGACCCTGTCTATCCAAAGTCCTTTACTTGGTCGACGACAATATCAAGGCGAAAAAGTGGTGTTGAAGAAGCTCAGCGTTGATGGCTGCCCGGTATGTTGTAGAACGATTTATGCAAAGGTAGTAAGTCTTGATTTTGTTCCAAGTCTAATTAGTGGCGCGTAGAATTATTTTGTTGATTCATTCGAGAAAGTTCAAACAATTCGATGGCTTGGAGCAGGCATCTCGGCGGATGTGTTCAAGGTCAGACGAATTTATGTCTCTGGAGTTGCATACGATAAATTTGCGATGCTTAATAGGTCAAGGATCCACTGAGTGGTGAATTTTTTGCCATTAAAAAGTCGAAGCAAGCTCTGCGCAACGAACGGGAACGGTATAAGATTCAAACTGGGAAGCGTTGGTATACTGACGCCTCCTTGCTTTCAACAGTGACGTCTTAGCCCGGGAAATAATGATTTTAGAAAAGCTGACTCTGTCACGGCACAACTTTGACAACATCGTGCGATATTATCAAGCTTGGCAGGAAAATGGCGCGTACACTCTTCAAAATGTTTTGAGAATAGGTTCACTTATCATACTTGTGATCGCCAACAGAAATGTTTTATTTGCAAATGGAGTTATGCGAGGGTGGCACGTTGCAAGATTTGATCACGATGAGAAATCGCGAATTACTTCCTGAATATTGTTTGTGGAATATTTTACGGGACATTGCAAGTGGGCTAAAAATTTTGTCTGATTACGATATCGTTCACCTCGATATCAAACCTGACAACATCTTTGTCACGGAAGACGGACGTTTAAAAATTGGCGATTTTGGTATGGCCGGGAATGTGATCGAATCTACCAAAATAGCAAGCAAAGCAGACTTTCTTGAAGGCGATGCGAAATATATAGCGAGAGAGCTGCTTTCTAGCACCAACAGACTACCTTCGGCTGACATTTTCTGCCTAGGTAAATTTAGTTTCTACATGACGATGGTATTCAATAGTCACGTACGTGTATTGCAGGTATCATGATGCTGGAAATTGCGACAGGAAAGAAGCTGCCCGAAGCAGGAAAGGAGTGGCATGACCTTCGAACAGGTCATTTGCCAACACTTCCGTGCGTATACTCAAATGATATAAAAGGAATTATCAAGCAGGTACGAAGATCGATTACCACATCATGATTGATGTTCAAGCTACTTAATTCCATGTAAAGATGATGCACCCAGATCCTCCAAAACGACCTACCGCAGCTGAAATTCTGCAAAATTCACGCGTGCAGACTGCCACAGAGCCCGTCACTCTTATTCAGAAGGTAAAATCATTTTCACTGGGTTTTGTTTTCGATCGTGTCAGCTAGCTAAACCTTTTTTCTTGTCTGATAGCACGCAATAAGACAAAAACTTTTTGTGCCTTCAAAATTGCGAAACAATACGAATCGGTCAACGCAAAAAGGTTTGCTCACTCCCCATAAAACACGTCGATTATTAACATTTAACATGACAACATGAAAATAACATTTTTTTCCTACCAAATCAAAAGAATGCAGTGCAACTTTTATTTAAATTTGAGACTGAAGTTACCTAATCGCTAACCGGTCCTGTGAACCGCCCGCTATTGATATTACTTGGTTGGCGTTAAGGGCTTTAACGTCGTGACCGCAATAATAGCAATTCAGTATCCCTTTTCTTCACGTGACAGCAAGAGTACGTAACCTGCAACTGTTAACGGAACATCAGATTGCTTACACGACGTGCTTTGATGTATCCATAGTGAAGTTTAACTCGACCGTGTCCTCGTCGCGCCGCAAAAGCCGCAAGGCACATTTCGGCGCTCACTCGACCCAGCGTCGTGTGCTTATGAGTGCGCCGTTGTCAAAGGATTTGCAGAACAAGTACAATGTAAGTTAGTACACTGGTACTTTCAGCGTTGTAAGTCCATGTCAGATTACTCATCAAAGAGACTGGCACTTCATGGCATCGCGGGAACCGTAAGTGTCGATGCCCCAATCCAAGACAGCAAAAACTCTAACACTAGGTATGATCCATGATCCAAGACTCATCAAATTATGCCTTAATATTGCTAGGTTCATAGCCTGCCAATCCGTAAAGAAGACGAGGTCTTGATTGTGCGCGGCTCTCAGAAGTCTCGTGAGGGCCGAGTAATTGCTGTGTACCGTAAGAAATTCGTCATTCACGTTGAGCGTGTTGTGCGCGAAAAATCCAACGGCGCTTCTGTGCCCATCGGTATTGATGCCTCTAAGGTTGTTATTACTAAGCTTAAGCTCGACAAGGACCGCAAAAAGATCTTGGAGCGCAAAAACCGTGCTGTATCTGAGACGGAGAAGGGAAAGTTCACGGAACAGGATGTTGCCATGGCTACTGTCGATTAAGGAGCACTTGGTCGCCATTTGAATACCATCCCGAGTGTTTTTATCGTTAAGAAAAGGAAGGTTACACGAGAAAGTTAAGCAGATTTGGTGATCTGCTCGATAGGATAATGTTGATAATGCAGATCCCAAAAGTGACATGCGTCTTACGATATCATGCCAATTATTGGTTTTTTCATTGCTCAACACGACGCTCACTCTGAAGCATGTTCATTTCTTGCTCTATCATTTGCTGAAGGGCGTTAGCGGGTTGGTCTGACACCAGCAGAACCAGTAGATTTATTAAATCTACCTCACGTTCAGCAAACTCACGCAATGTCAGCTCTTGCATCTTCAGACGACGTAGTAACTTATTGCATAACGGGAGGGCTTGTGGAAGGAATCGTGTGATTGCCGCAAGCAGCTTGTTTTCGCATTCATGTGCACTCTGGTCGCGCCGCCAGTCCTCACTTTTGCTCAAAAGTTTGGAGTGACGATCTTGAGTCATGCGATCGCCGTGCTTCTTTACAAATTGATCAAGGATTGCCACCTTCTTCTTTTCCTAGACATATACCGCTATCAGTAGATGATTGATATGTAGAGTGTTTTTACCCACGTTTTCAAGCGAGGCAAAATACATCCTAGCCGCACCAAGCTCTTCTAGCGTAGCTGCCTTTTCTTGCAAAAGCTTTTCATTTTCATGATTCAATTTATCTGCCATTTCACGGTACTGGTTTATTTCTGTACTAAGCCGCTGTTTGCTCAGTCGAGTAGCAATCAAGATTTCCTCTTTGACGCTTAAATCTCTAAACAATTCAAGCAGCAATCACGTCAAACTGTGCTCAGTGCAATTGACAATTGATCAGCTACTATTATCTATACCGCGAGAGCTGATCCACACGCCTTGTAGACTCGCCTGCTAGGCGACTGTGCACTTGGTGATGCCTGCATGGCACAGATTATGGTAAGGCAATTGAACACTTCGTACTTGAATAGAGATGATAAACAACCGTTCCCTTTTTCGACATTCCAATAACTCTCGCTTTAGTTTTCGATTTTCTGCGACCGAATTTCGATATCTCTTTTTCAGTCCAGGCGAAGAAATAGTTGATCTCATCTCACTTCCATCATCGCTCATCTGTAAACGACATTCAATTAAGCACATTTGTACAATCAATAGCACTTCGTACCCGAAGCTCCAAGGCGACATTTTGAGCTTGCAATTCCTGTATCTGAGCATGAAGATTGCTGATCTCATGTTCGTACTGCTCAAATAATTGTGGAACTGACGTGTGGTTTTCCAAAGCACGCACTTTGCTCCTAAGATCAAGATTTTTAAGTTTCATGCTTTCAATCTGTATTTCAAATGTTGCACGCATCTCTTGCTGATCTTGAAGCGTTTCCGCCAATCGAGATTCCGCTGCATCTTTCAATTGTTGTTGTTCTCGTACAATTGAAAGTAAAGCATCGTAGTTCTTGCGCAATAAATTCGCATCTGCAGCTTGAACTTTTTTTGCCGTTTTGACATCCAGACCGTCAACGACCGGAGCTCCCATGGCGCATGGAGGTACACCAGCCTTTCTCAATAATTTCAAAGTCACACTGTCAAGATTGGATGATTCAAAAGTATTTTTCGGTGCAGCATCATCATCATCCGCAGAAGTTTCTGGTATCAGTAACACTGTAGCTTCCACTACATTTTGTTTGGATCGTGATTTGTCGTACGACTCCTCAACAAGAAAAGGCATCTCCGACGCAAAGCAATTTTTAGCTGCATGATGTATCAAATGCGTTAACTCCTCGTCCAACTGATGCTTCGTTTGCTGGGCTTGGGGGTCTGCGGTCCTTTCACTCACACTCTCGTTGTGTTGAATCTGAGCGAAATCATTTGGAGTTGGATTTTGAACAATAAGTGGAAGTGGTGTATGCAACTCGGGTGTTGTTTTGCATTGAGAGAGCTGGGAATGAAGCACGTTGTCTAATTCGCATGGATTTCGTTCACTGCATGCTTTAATCTCTTCGACATCTTCCAGGGACTCGCGCAATCGCTCATATAAATCAGAAATAGTCGGCCGAGGTCGAGACTTGGCAAAGTTATGCTGAAGTGATCCATTCTTTCTTTGTTTTTTACGAAAAGAAGGTAATGCTAAGTCTGGTGAGATTTGTTCAGAAACGCGAAGAGCAGATATAATTGCATCGAAAGTGTCAACTGAGCCACTAAGAATGTCTTGCTTTCGTGAGGCGAAGGTCTTCAACCAGTTCAATGCTTCTGTTTCGTTCAAAGAAATCGGCACTGTTTGATGTTGAACTGAATTTATGCTCTCCACATGTCCATCTAGTCCCGGGGACGAAGTTACCTTCTTGTACTGCGACGACATCATCGAGCGATTACTTGACACACTTAAATCATAGTCGTTGTTACTGCCTTGCAAGCCTTCTTCTAAGTCGGTCAGACATGCTTTAAAGCACAACTGGTCATATGATACGCCCCGAATGGGCTTGCAGACACATTTATAGCCTTTTAAGCCAGATACTGCATTGAGCAGCCGAACACATTCTCGTAAACTGGAACGTGAGTCAATGATATAAGCGTACAGAAATGTCTTCGCATTCGCGTTTAGTAACGGCATCATGAAGTTTGACAGCATCATTTTGCTGGTCAAATTAAGTAAAGAAACCAAAGTGCGTTTGCTGTTCAGTCTTGAAGAAGGCGTAGACAATTTCAATTCCTTTAACATGTTGTAAAGCTCATTTCTTTCGTTTATCAAAATTTGGTCGTGATGATCTTTTTGGTCAACAAGATCGACGAGGTGGACAGTGCTTACCTGGCCGTTATAGAATAAAGCCAAGCGAACGAAGAAATGGGCATCATTTGCATTTTGCTTGCGCACAATATGATTCGTCTTGGCTGTGTGCACAATACGAAGTGCAGCAGCCAAAGACGGAGCCTCCAGAGAAACAAAATCCATGCGATCACCTGAAGTATTCGTTCTTGCTAGATCAACAGACTCTAGCAAGTCGATTGTTTGATTATTTACAATAATCCAGCTGCTAATCCCAAGTCGCCAAAATTCAGCTCCTGTTTCCGGAGGCTTGCCAAGATCTAAATGAGAAAAGAAAACGTAAAGCAGGCCCACGAGCTGTCCATAGACCTCTACAATATCATTGACTGCCGAATTCGGCTGCAGCACAAGGCGTTCTTCATTATTGTTTTTACCGAAAAGCAGTTGATACTTTTGCGTTGGATGCACACCCCACCCAATAATATTGGAATTGATCCCATCCTGTGCAGTTCGGAGAGCTGGTAACGTGATCTCAGTAAAAAAGTCAACTGAATGTGACGGTGAGTCTGACGTAAATACAGAATGAAATTTCCATTCCACCAAAGACTTCATAGTGTTGCCCTTTGGGGGCAAAGCGTTCGCTTGTGAACTTGTACTCGCGTTACCTCCTGAGACTTTTTCAGAAAGCCTAACGCAGTGATGTTGCGGTAGGGCCACAAATTCCGACGTCGCACGATTAGCACCATTGACGTAGCAAGACACGTGGATTTGGCTGAGAACTGGAGTGCCAAAGGTTTTAACACTATTTTCCATGGCAGCATTGTTAGTGCAGGCTAAATCAAAAGAAGAGTTGCTTTGGACTGACATCCTCTGTTGAAAGTTACGCCTCTTCGCCGAATACAACACAATTAGGCTGAAGCCTCTTGTCAATCGAAACGCAGTACAGACAGACGAAACGCATAAACGCTGAAGATCACATTCAAATAAAAACTAATTGACGCGCCTGTTGCTATGACCTCATTTTTCTCAAATATCCGCTAACTACCATAATTGGTACACCGGTAAACCCCTCTGGTCTCTGATCACCCTAGATTACACTATACTATACTTAATTGTGTTGCATCCACCGCCATCAAGATGCGGAGGTGGTGAGGCTGGATATAGAGGCAAGACCTGAAATCATTCATCGAATACTTCACGGCTGTGCTTTGCACGCAGTCAGTTGCCTGGATGCCTCTTCAAAAGTTTGAGCATCATACGCAGGGAGCAAGACAGAGAGAGGATGATATTCCCCATCTGAAAATGAAAACCCAGACGACTCACGGTTTGTATCATCGACAATATTATCAGCCAGAATTTCAGACCGCTCAAGCACTAAGTGCATATCTGACTTCCGTCCAACAGTTTCGACTAATTCATCAAAAAGTCCAACTTTCCACGCGACATGCTTCTGCTCCAAAAAATACCAAACACGGTACGCGTTCAAGAAGTGCGCATTGTCTAGTTTTTTGACAAGTGCACCGTTTACAGACTGGCGGTACACTTTCTGAATTCGCTGTACGTCGACGTCGACGTCGCTCAGGTCTACACCACTGTTCACAAGGAAGCGCAGCAACACCAGGAGCTCATATTCTGACGGCCGGTAGTGACCGCTGTGAGGATAAATAGTTTTTATGACCCCATTAGTAATCACCATCATACCTGCAGTCTGCACGCACTCGCCTCCAACAAAGCTAGTATGATGAATTCGAGGAATTTTCTTTGTCTCCTTTTGAGAGCCGTATAATACACCGTCTCGCAAAACAAAAATCCATCCGTCCGGTCCCGTTTCCACAACTTCTTGAGTCGCGACATGAACTACCAAACCGGTTTGCACTGAAAGTGCAAATTTCTGACGTTCGGCAGCCGTGTCACAGTACAACACGGTCTCACGCTCGAGCTTCGTTCTTGGCACACCAGCAACTTCGATTGATTCATCGTCAAGCCATTCCCAGAAGCTAGGCTTTGTAGGTTCCATTGGCTGACGCTTCCACTCTTTATAATACGCACGCAGATTCGCACCGTACCTAATGAAACATTCGCATCAGATAACGCTATTTCCCAAACGAAATGTAAAACGCACCGATGTTTGCGATCGCAGACTTCCAGCCAGCTTTTCTTATCCACAACCGAAATGTTTCCTGCGCTGTATCCTTTAACTAGCTTTGGCGAGTACTTCTTTGCCAGCATGACGATCTCTTGCATGTTTTGATATGTCGTTCGTCGGTTGGCACGCATGCCTTCCGCAGTCATCGGCTTGATTTGCTACCGAATTGCTCCCTTTGTTTAATCGCTGGGGCCACCGGCGCCAACTGTTCTATCAAGAGGTATTAGCCCACCCCCGTATCGTATTCAGCTTCGCTTTCAATATTCTCTGAAATCGTCACCACAGGGCTGAGTCACAGTAGTTACAACTATCTACTGAAGGCGCAGGGCGTGCGTGCGTTACACTGAATTGTAGCCCAAGCCAAATGACGTTCCTCTGTCCAGCTAACTGAAAGAGCGCAAGCGCAATAAGACAGAAAGTGGTACACACACTATAGGACTTAAGACAGCGCTAATATCGCTAGTCTGTGTGGTGGAGGAAGAAGACAAACGGCACAAAATGAGCTTGAGCACAAACGTCTTTATAGGCGAGTGTGATTCGCTCGATAACTTGTTTTGAGATTGTGAGAAAAATCTATCTCACTTTTCTTGGCAAAATATAAATGTGATAAATGGACTACTACAACAACAAGCAGCACAAATTGATAGACACGTTAGTTGATGTTAGTCCTTGCCAAGCGTCCCATCGTCCATCACTACGAGACAGGGTCAACCTACGCAATGGCTGTCTTCTAATCCTCACTGGTGTCTCTTTTTCTGAGCTGACTCTTCTCCACGAAGGCGCAAATTTTGTACTGAGCAATCTAACAAAAACTCGGAGATTTGGTAGACTTCTTGACCCGTCTTTGCACTACAGAGAATACCACAGCGGTAAGGGTAATATTTTAGCCAACCAAAGTGCGATAGTAGCAGTCTGGCCAATCATCGCAGGTTTTGAGCTAAAAATCTCTAAATAAAACATACCCCTAACCGGTTCAGCTAAATACACTGCTTACTTTGAGCCTTAAAAGACCCATTCTTTCGTGACAGCCAAGAGATGTGCCACCTGTTTGACATTGGAGCTGATACTACTTGCATCATGGGATTCATTGTCGGAAGGATGTAAATTTTGAGCTGTCTTGACTATTCGCATGTTACTGGCGAGATTCTGGACTTGTAACGTGACGATTATTCAACAAATATTCATGTCCAAAACAGTGTGATATCGGTGTCTGCCAAAAATATCACCGCTACAATTCCAACGCATTTGCACATCAAAGAGATGACAACCCTACACCACGTCTTCTCTTTGGACATGTAGCTAATAAGAAAAGGTTACATAACATTGAAGTTCAGAACTCATCCCAAAATGATCTAATGAAAAAGACACACGTATTCGATTGAAAAAAATAGTGTTATGCTAGCTTGATCACATAATTATTTGATGTTTTTCGGCCTGTCTGCTCACGATATCTTTTGAGCCGACGCAGCACGCACTACGGCAGATCCCTTCGTCATAATAGGCTGTAATATCATATGATATATTTCTTTTGAAGGCGTCACATCAGCAGATTTGTCATCTAGGTAATTGCCGATCTGACGTCGTGACGTCAGATCCTCCTGGCTTTTTGAAGAATAGTTTTATGGTGTCAGTGCCAATAAAAATGTCACGGTTTCTTGGGTATAAAGCCTTATTTTTTAATAAAATGACAGTCCCTATAATGCGCGCACGCTCAGGGTTAGACAGTGATGGAGAAATAGAGCAAAATTTACATCTTGTATGTCGAGATTATAACACACTTAGTCCACTGGACTTAACTCTCACGCGTCATGCAAATATTGTGATATGCCATCACTGCAAATCGTTATGCATTGCCAACTATGTCGACTCATCCTGTGCAGCTTTGCCGTACAATCGCAATGGGTTGCGCTACAAGCTCGAAAAAAAGTCATCGAAGCCTCCCGTGTTTTGTGAGACGTTACCCGATCATTGATATTCCCCTTTTTCACGGCACTACCAACACACCAAATATGACCGAAGTCACTCATTTCAAACACTGCGTATTGCCGCCGCGTACTTGCGCTCAGCCAGTCACCTGCATTTTTAAGTTGTATATTCAAACTTTAGACGAATGTCATATAATTTCTTCAACCATTTTCCATTTTTGGTGCATGTGAGAAGTTTCGTATACACACTTTAATTTGGATTCATACATTATCTGGAATCTCCGTTAAAATGGACAGTAACTGTGGCGCTACATACTGTAATGAAAGCAGCTGTTGAGGTCACCAGTTCTTATCGATCTGATAAAAAATGACAGACATGTGAGGAGAAAACGGCACTCGCTGAAGAAAACTTTAATCTTTCTCTACCTTAAAATGGGCTTAGAGGGTATACATACGCCGTAGTGAGATGTTCTGAGTGCGTGAGAGGCGTTGCGACAATTCATTTGGACAGTTCTGTTTCACGCTTCTAAAGCCAGAAAGTCATCTCATAGATGTTGTGGGTGCTCATTTGTTAGGGACAATCAATAGCAATAATCAGGCTTTTCCATGGTCGAAAAACGAATTTTCCTAAAACGCGATTTTGATGAATATAATTATTTCTTGATGGACTCTGGTATTTAGATGGGTGTTCAATGGGATAGTTGTTAGCGGCAGCTAGCTGCATTTATATTTACTTTAAAAAAATGTATCCGACGGCTAGCAAGACATGTGCGAAGCCATGACTCGTCGACTGAGACATATATTTCCATTTTACTAAAAGATATATAATAACAACACCAAAATTGAGGTAATGTTATTTAGCCATAGGTTTGCGTTGTCACAGCACACCAAATGTCACTGCTGACATCCGCACGTCAGATGTGCGAGCAGTACCTTACATGAACAACTTAAGATGTAATATCTCATGCGATTCACTGAATCTCAAAGGCTTAACTCGGAGTACATTTTTGCTCGAGTCAATAGCAAAACTCCGATCATAAAAACGTCTTGGTCTTCTGGATCGAAATAGCCGATGAATGGTCGTAAAGCTCAACGACATTGGAAGCTGGGCTGATGCAATAAGACGGTGACGTGTAAGGATATCAAAATTTGACCACATGTCCATACTCGCGACGTCTAATATTTTAACAAACTAGGTAAGCTGAGGACAAATTGAGACAAAAATATGTTGGTGACAATTAACTCGAGATCAGAACGAAAAAAAGTTATCGCTGAGCAGATTCTTTGGGAAGAGGAGCGCTATAATTACTGTCGTTCTAGAACGTGGTTATGACACTGTCGATCCAAAATTTTAATCGTCATTATTTTTCTAGAGACATTCCAGCTGGCGTAGTAACTAATTCTGCATCACTATCTGAGTGATAAATTGTTATCATCGAACATCTTTTCTTAGAATTAACGTCTCCGAGGCTGATGGTCCCTCAGGACGCTTCAACTGCTTGAAAAACGCTCTGGATATAGCGCTCACAACGAGTAAGCATATTATCTGCTAGAGGATTTAGTGGCAACAATCATTGCAGAAACCCGCTATCGAATATTTCGCGCATAAAGTTTTGTACATTTAAAATATCTAGTTAACCCAGTCATGCATATGAAGAATTTGGTGAAGCGATGCTCTATCTCTTGTTCAACTTAAACTGAGCAAAACAGCAGTTCCTGGAAACGTATCATACTATGATCTGCGCGGAGATTGTGTGGGATTAGTAAGAACATGTAATGCTGCTCAACACTTACAATTAAAAGAGCGTTTATCTGCAGACCTTTATTGAACGCTATCGTCATGTGAAATCGTTGAAACGAACAGTCAAATCGTTGTTTGTAGGCGAGATACAGAAAAACGATCTTTTGACACCAGCACATTCCAAGTGAAACTACAACTTTCATACATATATTTACAGGTATAGCCACTCCTATCCTACGATTACCGCCAACGGTGATAATTTGCCTGCCATCGAAGTCTGTACGGTGAAACTGACCGACCAAAGGGGACATCTGTATTAATATAGTTATCCATACTCCGGACCCAACACACGATTGGAATAAGCTAGAGAAATTGCGGAGCGCAGTATAGTGTGAACTTTAAAAACTCGTCATGCATATATAAATATCAAGCGTCTGTTTTCGGTCTCACAAATCAAAAAAGCGTATACTAAGCAAAAAATGCTGGTTTGTATAATGTGCCGGGAGTGACACTCAGTGGGAGCTCTGGCATGCTCGTATGTATTACTCGAATAAAAATGCTATCAAAAGACAGAGCTCGATGAAAGGTAAGCCTATCTATCATCAAGCAACGCTATGAGCTGAGTGTACGGAAGGGAAGAGATGGTGACATTTCTCCAGTGCGTTCAATCACTAATACAACACGCGTGCTGATGCTCGTGCATATGGGTGTCATGGGGTCAGGTTAATTGCCCGAAAAATTGTTAACAAACTATGCTACTAATCTTGGTGGTTTACTGCAATAGAAGAACGACGAGTTCCTAAAAAGAGCGACGTACACTTTCGATATAACTGTCAGAATGTAAAAAAGATTTGATTATGAAGTGTGTTGAGGACAGAAGGGCTATGTATATTCTGATATTTTTAAACGGCTTAAATTTATTTGCTATCTGCCTCATCAAGAGCAGAAGAGTTGTGTCGGATAAGCTCAATAGTAAGAGACGCTATATGGAAATTAGCGGGGTGTGAGTCTAAATTGTTCGCGCTCTAAGAGCGGGACGAACTAAACTGCAAGTCTTCGAAGACAGGAAGCAAGAACTTGCGCAAATGCTTGCCAAAGCTGACAATAGACTTGGTTTGCGCTTTGTTGATTCGCTGCCAAGCGAACTGACATTGAATGTGACTTGATCGGTGGCTTGGGAATCCACACAGCGCGATAAATTGAAGATCGCGGGATCACCGAAGCAAGCACGTATTCACGCTACTTGTGCAGCTTAGGTGAGGGAGCAGACGCATTTGCTCGCTGTTCGACGGCGATAACATAACTTCCGACAAGCCAAGTCGAGCCACGATCAGTAATTCTTACTGATACAGCCTCCGCAGCCACTCTGCCTGTAAGCCAGGAACCACACTCGCGAGAGTGTAGTCGATTTCCTCCTGCATCGGTTACGCGCTGGCGTCGCGTACGAATTCTACAGATGTGGTTCAGGCACCATGCCAAGGCATCGGCGATGTGCTGCACTGGTACGCGTCCGTGGATTCTG